ACTGATATTCTAAAAAATAAAGTAAATCAGGAGTTGAGTTCAAGTGAACATGATCTATCTTCAAATGTTGTTTTTGTTAATGAAATGAATGTCAGTTTTGTTGAAAAAAAGATTCAAAATTTGAATGACGAGCTACAAACTTTAAAAACTGAACATGATAAACTCTTGATTCTGTATGAAAATGAATATACTGACTCAAAATTAGTTCAAAGCGATATGACAGTAAATACATCTAATACTCAAGAGTCTCAATCAAATAAAAACAAAAGTGAAAATAGAATAGAACAAATTCAAAATTATATTGATCATATAAAAAATGATATAGATAAAATAAAAGAAAATAGTATAAATTTTACTGCTATACTTAATGAATTTAAATCTGAGAAAATTAATTTGTTAGATGAAATTAATAATCTAAAAGATGTTAATGAAGAATTAGAACAAAAAATATTAAATAACGAGAGCACAGCAATAAATAAAATACAAATTCTTGAAAATGAATTGGTTAATATGAATAAAGAAATTGATCAGTTTACTACACAAGAAAAAGAATTGGAAACACAAAGAATTATGTTAGAAGTAGAATTAGAAGGTTTGAAAGTCGAAAAAGAGAAGAAAAATATTTTGATTAATGAATTAAATGAACATATTTTTTCTCTTAAAAATGAATTAGATTTAATTACAAGCCAGAGAAATGAATTAATTAATTCAACTACAATTAAATGCAAAGAAGAAGAGTTAAAATATTTAAGAGAACAATGTGAAAAATTCGAAAAAGAAAAATTACAAAGTAAAGAATTGGAGTATCATAATACACTAAAGATTAAAGAATTAGAAATATGTGTAAACGATCTCCAAAGAAATATAACAAATCAAGAAAATATCTCTAAAGAATATCAAGAAAAAAATATTAATTTCGAAAAACTTTTACAAGAAAAAGAGGAAGAAAAACATAATCTGATAGAAAAATTACAAGCAAGTGAAACAGAAATAATTGACATAAAAAATAATTTAGAAATGGAATATAAGAATGAATTAGATTCAATGGTCTTGCAATATCAACAGTATATTAAAGAAAATGATAACAATGTAAAAAAATTAAATGACACATTAAATAAATATATTGATGAAAATTTGAACTTAACACAAGAGCTCACTAGTCTACGAAATATTAAAGAAAAATTAAATGAAATAATGATAGAAAAAGAACATTTATTTGATGAACAAAAAAAATTGATTAATGATAAAGAACAATTTAATGAAGAATTAAATGATATTAAAAAATGTATAATTAAAGAACTCAGCTCACTTAAATGTAATATAAATTTACCAAATTTTTCAAGTAAATCCGCAAATGAAATTTTTGTAATTTTCTTACAAACGCTTTTATCTAAAGAAGAAGAAGTAATTAAAACTGTACGAGAAACATATGAAAAGGAGAAACAAAAAGTAGAAGAAGAAAAACAACAATGTATAGATACAGAAAGACGCACCGTTATGTGGGCCAAAGAATTAGAAGCAGAAATTGAAAAACTCCAAACAGATCTAACAGAAGAAGAACGTTCTCATAAGGAATACCAAAATAAAATATTTCAATTAGAGCATTTTCTAAAAGAAAGTAATCATGAAAATGAAATGTTGAAAGAAAAAATGAAGGCATTAGAAACAGATTTTATATATTTACAAGCAGAATTTGATAAACAACATAAAATTGACAATCAACAGGAAGAGGCAATTTTTGAGGCTCAGAAAAGAGAAAAAGAAGCACAAGAAATATTTAAAAATAAAGAAGTAGAATTACAATTTAAACTTAACTCTGAAAAAGAAATATATGAAAAAAAAATAAACAATTTCATTCAAACTATAGAATGTTACAAAACAAAAAATTTTGAATTAAATAACACTATTGAAGGACTTGAAATAAATGAAAAACAATTGAAAAATATCATAGAAGCAAATTCATCTGAAATAAAAAAGAAAAATGAAAATATAGAAAAAATAAATGCAGAATTTGAACAACTTACACAAGTTTATAATGAAATAAATCAAGAGATGAGACAAAAGAACTCGCATATTGAAGAAATCACAACAATTTTAAAAAACAAATGTGATTTGTTATCTGAATATAAAATAAAACTTGAAACAATTTTACCTGAATATGAAATGTTAAAGGAGCATGTCAAAGATCAAAAATTGACTATAGAACAATTTAAAGAAGAAATAGAAGTATTAAGAAAAGAAAGAGAAGAGCAATTGGAAATTATCAAAGATAAATTGAATATAGAAGAAATAAAAAATGCTGGTTTAAGTAAACACTTAAATGAATTGAATAATAAAAATATTTCAATAATAGAAGAATTGAATAGTTTGAAAGAAAGATTTAAAGAACTTCAAGAAACAAATATAAAATTAGAGAGAAAAATTAGAAATAGTACTAGCAAAATTAAAGCAGAAGCGGAAATAGAAGAATTAAAAGAATTAAATAAAAGATTGCAGAACAATTTAGAAGGCGCAAGCAATCGTGTTGCGGAATTTCAAGAGATTAAAAATCAGACTTTAAAGGATTTAATAGATGTTAAAGGTAAATATGAATTTATATTACAAGAAAATAATGAATTGAAAAAAACGCTTTCATTATATAATTTGAAACATATAAATTCGAATTCACTAATAGACGAAAGTAAATATGATGCACTTCTTTTAGAGAAGAATAAAATTGCATTAGAATTGGAAGATAAAAAGATATTATTAAATCAAAAAGATAAAGATATAAAAGAACATGTCACACAAATACAAAAATTAATTGATAAAAATAAGGAATTAGATGATGAATTAGAAGAATATGCAGCAGTGATTAGAGAACGAGATAATGAAATTTCAAAATTAGAAGAAAAATTGTATTCTCGTTTTTCTGAAAATGTTCTTATTAATGAATTAGAAGAGAAATTAAAATATCGTAATGAAGAAAATGAAAAACTTCGTGATCAAGTTGATGCGCTTAAAATGAGATTACAAATGAATGTAGAAGAAAGTATCAAATCCCAAAATGAAAATATTGTTCGCGATTTAACAAAACAAAATTTGGAATTGCAAACAAAGTTAAGTTTTTATAAGAAACAGATAGATGATAATAAATTTAACGAAATGCATATGGAACAATTACAAAATTTGAATAAAAAATTACAGAATGATTTAAGAGATACAAATCATCGCATAAAAGAACTTGAAGAAGAAAAAAATAAAATAATAAAGAAATTAGAAACACATAAATTATTGTTGAACCAGAAAGATAAAGAAATTAAGGAATATATAAATAAAATACAAGATTTAACAATAAAAAATAAGAGCTTAATACAAACACAATATGATAAAAATGAATTTGATAATGAAATGGAATCTATTCATAGTCGAGAAATTTCAAACTTATCTAATTTAAATTTATATTCAACAAAAGATGAATCAAATAATGATATAAAACAAAAATTAGAATTTTTCATGTTAGAGAATAGAAAACTTAAAGATGAAATTAGGAAGCTTCAAAATAAATTAAGAATCGAAGTACATAATGAAAATAGCATACTTAAAGATAGTAAAAAAAATCAATATAAAACTGATAAAATATCTGATAGAGACATTGGAATATACGAAAATAAATATGAAGAATTGAAGAAAAAGATTCATGAATTAGAATTACAATTAGTATCAAAAAATGGAAAAATTGCAACATTAGAAATACAAATTCAGAGTGAGAATTTTCCATATCAAAGAAAATGTAAAGAATTAGAAGAACTTGTACTTGCGTTTCGTAATAAGGTATGTTATAAAATATAAAAATAATAAAAGATTGATATTTAATTTATAAATGTGTAGGAATGATAATTTTATATAGTTTTATATAATTTGAAACTTCCTTCGATTTAATTCAAGTTTTTGAAGAAGTTAATTGCAATGCTGACGAATATTACGACTTATCGAATATGGTTTATTCTCAAAAATCTTAAATTATAATATTCTTAAACTATTATAAATATTTAACTTTATATATTTTATGTAACAGAATGCAGAATTAAATAATGAAGTAAAGAAATTACAAAGGACTGTGAATGATATTAATGCATGGGAATGTGATATTTGTAGACGATGGCGTGTAAATAGAAAAGATCAAGCTTGTCAAACAATACCTAATAACACTGTGCGTTTCTGCGGTAGTAATAGTGGAGTTGTCGAGGTAATATAACAATATTAACATATTAATTTTTAATATATTTATAACATTTATTTTACATTATAATTTTTAAATAGGATCATGTAAAAATAGAAAAATTAGAAAAAGAAAAAATGTTAATGAAAGATTTATGCCGCTCTCGAGCTCGACAAATAAGAGAATTGCAAGATCGTTTAAAAGAATTAGAAGAAATACAAAGTTCGTTTTCTTTAAAGTCACATGAAGTATTGCAAGATAGATCTAATCAACAAAATAGCAATGTTACAAAATTGAGTAGACATTTGGATATTAGAAAAAATTCATAAATTAATTTTCGTTTTTAAGGATAAGGATATGCATTAAACATATATTTTAACTAACGACCAACAAGTAAAAAATATAATTTTTTATTCTCTTTCTGTACTATATGTATATATTATAAAAACTGTAAATAAGTGACTGAATTGAGAATTATATATATCATATCTTTAATTTTGTAATTCAAATGTATGGTTTTATTAAAAGATAATTAATCATAAAATTAATATTTTGATTAATTGACGAAAATAATTAATAATAAATAATTAAAAAATTATAATGAATAATAATAAAAATATAACTTGTTTCTATAAATAATAAAAAATATAAATATAAATTGAATATTTTTATAATTTTTATAATTAATTCATAAAAAATGATATTTATTAAATAATATTTTACTTCATATATTATAAGTTTTTTTACAAATATTTTTCATATTATATATTTGTGCTGAATTATCGTAGTGTTTAATATTTCATGACTTACTAAGTTTTTGTTTTTTTATCTTATGTTTAGATGTAAATTTTTTAAGTCTTTTGTTACCAACTTTTCTTTCAAATAAATCTATGACAAAAAATAAATTATATATAGAATATCAATGAATTGAAATTGTTTTAAACATATGAGATTGAAATTACCTTCATCAGGTTCTTCTCCTATTTCATCACGATAATATTGTGCATCATCATCTTCCTCTATATTATTTTCTTCAACTGATTCTTTTGCAATTTTTTGTAATAATATTTCATTTTCTTTCTTTTTCTGCATTCCCTTTAAAGATCTTTCTTTATGTTCTTGTTTCTGTAATTCTTTTCTTTTCTTATTTTCTTCTTGTTATTTTTTTTTCTTTTTTCTTTCTAATTTTCTTTTTTTCTTCTTCGTTTTTTTTTTATTAAGTAGTTTTTCTTCTTCAGATTTATGAACATATTCATGATAAAGTACTTCACCATCCAAAAGTCCATCTTCAACTTTTATTAACTAAAAATATCTCAAAGAATATTAATTTGTGTGATTATTTTTTAAAATTATTTAATAAAAAGAAATATTTCTGACCTCTAATGTTAATCTAGGACCCAATTCAGAAAGTCTAATTGCACTTTTATTATTCGCATAATTACCACGTGAAGATAATTTTTGTGGCAATGTAACATGATTCAAAGGATCATCTTCAACTTCACTTTCAGAAACTGTTTCTTTTGTTAAAAAATCAGAAAAATCCTCACATTTAGATAAATTTGGTATTTTAGCTTGAACTAGTTTTTTAACACCTTTTGATAAACCAACAGGTGTTGCTTTAATTGCATAATGCCTAAGATCAATAGTTTTTGATGTTGCATTATAATTTAAACACAAACATCTACGAATGGTACTTAAATTAACCTATAAAAAAATCAAAATATATTTTATATATAAAATTATGACTTAATATATTTAAAATAAAATTATTTAGAATGAAACTCACTGTAGTCAAATTTATTGTAGGAAACATATTTTGAAACATAGAAGCAATAAGCTTTAATTGCATACCTTCTCCACTAAAATTATTTAATATTACTAATGGAGAATTGTTAAATAATTCTTCATATACCATTTGCTTTTTTATTAAAGATATTACATCACGTGATAATGAAAAACTATGTATTTTGAATGTAAGTGTTGGTCCTCTTGGTAACCTATTTTACATTTATTAATTAATTATATATTTAATAATTAATATATTTTCTAAAATTAATTTGATAATATATTTATGATATAATTTGTAAAAATTAATTTATATTTAATTTTGGTACCTGCAAAGTTTAAAATACATTCCTTGTTCTGTTTTGGAAAATATACACATATGTGTAACATGTAGTATGCTAGCTATAGATACAAAATCTTTAATTGTATTCTTTTTTCTTCTTTTAAAGACATTGCTGTAAAAGGTTCCATAATTTTACGAAAATTTTTTGTAAGCTCAACAATATGTTCTCCAGGTATTCCACGATGAATTACAAATGAATGAGGTGCTTTTACTACATCTGGATTTTCTTCTGTATTAATTTGCTTATTTCTTTTTACGCAACGACCCTAAATAATTTACAATTAAATAAGGGATTAATTTTTATTAATTTTATACTATTAATTATATTATTTTATTGAGAAATATATTTACATTTATATAGAAAACTTATCAGCTATTTAATTTATTATTATTTTTTTAATTTATATATTGAAAAAGTTTTCAAATAAAATAATTAATAATTAATTACCTTTTTACGACGTCCCATGATTTTTTTAAAATTATTTTTTTTAAATTAAGGTTAGAATACTTATCACGTGTATATACAATACACTGCTGTGAAATTATCAATTTTAAAACAGGTTAGACACAACACAAAAACTCATAGTGAATAAAAATTATTATCTCTTTTTTTACTTTCTAATAAATTTGTTGAAAAATATTTAAATTTATTGAATATCAAAAAATATGAAATTTATTTTAATAATTAAATTATTAATAAATAATTTTATAATATTAATGAATTATTAATAAATATTTTAATAATTAAATTACGATTAATACTTTTAGATTTTAAATAGATACTAATGTATAATATATAAAATTTTCTCACTTTTTAGAAAAATAATTTAAAAAATAATAAACTAATTTTTAGAAAATTATATTATATTTATTAATATTTTTATGTAATTATTAATAAAAGTTTGATAGTATAATAATTAATATCGTTCAGTTTTATATAATTTTCATATAAAGCATAAAAATTTCTATTAATATAAATTATATATAGAATATTTCTAATATAATTTTTAAATACTATAGTTAGTTCTTACATGCTTTTTTCTATTTTCTTTTCTCTTCATTTATTTTATGTTTTATTATTTTCAACTTATTAAAATCTAAAGTTATATAAAGAGTACAATAAGAGATCGCGAAATCATCCAACTTCCCTTCTCATTCTATTATGAATTCTGGAAATGATTACGGTTGTTCACCGCGTGGAAGGATTCATTGTCTGAAAGCGCGGGAACTTCGGTACAACTTGTTAAGCGAAGAAAACTCTTCTCACGGTGCAAAGTTCATGGCTAGTGCGTCGATCTTTATCTATTTAGCTATGTCCGGGGACTTCTTGAGTTGTTACACACTAAAATTACGTCGTCAATAATGAGGATATAAACTCTTTTAATAATCTTGCTTCCACGTCTTTGCTTTTCTTTACTTTGTAATTTTCTCAACGCTAGTAACGTCCGTTATCAATCTCACATCTTTTATTTATAATATGATATAATGTTATATGATATCCATCATATTGCAAAATAAATCACTAAGAAACTTATTTATTTTTTTATTATTCACATCTCGATTTGCTGTATAAACAAATATATTTAAATTTATAATTCAAATTTTTCTAACATTTTTTGATTCTTTATCTTTCTATTTCATAACCTTAATTGATTATACTTTAATTAATTGATCAAATAAAAATGATTTTATTAAAATATTAATATTACATTATAAACATTAATATTAAATAAAAGCAGAATGAATAATTCTATAGTAATATTTTAATTGTAAAAACTGTTTGATATCGTAGAAAAATTTAACAAGAAAAGGTTAGAAAAATTTATGTATGATATAAAAAAGTGAATTTCGTCTTTCAATAATCAAAATTTCTAAAGAAAAAACAAAAATTTTTTATCCTAATTTTGGCTTAATTCTTTGGCAATAACATTTCGAGCATAATAATTCGTTAACGGCGACGCGAATAATAATCACGGTATATTGCACCGGCTGCATCGAGGTAACGTCTGCCATATGCCAAGTTAGAAACCGGCCGTGATTTTTGCCAACATCGCTACCGTAAGGAAATCGAAAAATAGAATAAACTTGTCCTTCCACTATTTAATATATACGAGATTTATGAATATTTATATATATTTATTTATTTATTTATTTATTTGAAATTATTACTATTGGCACATATTCACTTTCTTAAATATTAATGAAAATCTTTTAATAAAAATATTTAATTTATATTTTAAAATTATTTTTTTTATTTTTTCATTATAAAAGTTCCTCACATTGAAAAATTAAGAAATATTAAGGATAAAAATAAATTATGAATATATACATAATTTGTTTTTAAGAAGTTATTTCTATTAGTATGTGTATAAATGTTTTATAGTTCCATAGATTGATAGGTTATTGTTAGGTTATTGTTTATTATCTATTCTTTTATTCTATAATAAATAAGCTTTTGTATTAACAAAATGAATAAAAATATAAATTTTGCACTTAAATAAAAGGATTGAAGTCAGTCTAAAACACATAGTTATCTATTCTAAAATACTCTAGTTGGTATTCCTATTTTATTGATGATCCTATTATTTTATTGATTTTATTTTGAATATTATTATTATTTGTGCACTCTAATTTACAACCAGTCGCAATCTTTATGTGCATTCGAATTCATGATATCAACATTGATGAAACCATAGAAAAAATGTAGAATAGATCTATAGTTTTATGAGAATTTATTATATGAATATAAGAAATTAAAAGATTTGTTATGTCCTCTATATTTGCTAATTTAATTTTACATTAGCAAATTTAAAATTACAAATTACAGACATAAAAAAATCTCTATTTAAATGTCTATTACTATATTACTATCTATTATGGATATTACTATCTATTACTATAATTGGTGATTTTAATTTTTTACTAAATTGGTAACGTTGGGAATGATATTAAAATGATATATTTAGGTTTGAGATCTGTCAACATAAAAAACAAAAGAATACTTCAAATTTCATCTATTGATGTATATATTTCACTTCATGTATTGATTTATTCAAAGTTTGAACATATCATTTTTTGTTAATTTGTATACCAAATTCGATTTGTGGCAAATGAACTATATGGAAATACAAAAAAAAGCATAAAAGTACATATATATTATTTATTATGTTATTTATTATTATTGTTATACGATTGCTTATACGATTATTTTATATTTTTATATTTATTTTTTCATTTGATTTTTATTTATAAAATATTATCGATATCATATTTTATTATGTTCATTTGATACAATAAATTTATAATTTTTGAAATCTCATGGAAAATGTGAAATGTATTTAAATCATTGAAAAATATTATTCATTTCAATTGAATCAATAGAAATTTATATGTTTATTACAATTTTTAAAACTTTTTATCAAAATTAATTTTAATTAATTTAATTACTCTTTAATTTCGAATAAAATTGTTTAAACATGAAATTATTACTTATTGATTTAGAATTAAGAAATAATATATTAACAATATATTAAAACATATTATATATTTAATATAATTAATATATAAAATATGTAACTAATTAATGTAATTAATATATAAAAAATTATATAATTGAGATAATTATACTAAGTATTATTTATTACTACATAATACTAAGTATTATTTAACAAACAAAATATGTTCAAATTTGAAATTATATTTAAATATTTAATGTGCATAAATAAATGTATCTTATGAGTTGGCTAACCTGGATTATTTACAATTTGCATTCAATCTTTGAAACTTTCGTTATATATTCAAATTTGATATCCAATATGAGTAATACAATATATAAAATTCAAAATATCTGCAAAATATATTCATGAAACGACCACAAGGATCGGCCACGAATGAAACCGTTTTTAAAAATTTTTTCCCGGAAAAAACGTTGACTGAATACATAATGATATATAAGTGCATCTTTGTGAATGTATGTTAGACACTTGCGAGTGAATTACTTTGAAAATCTATCGTATTTTTTTCTCCAATTTTTCATCAAATTTTTGTTTAATATTTAATTAAGTTCTTTGCAGATTCATCAAAATTTGTAGATCAAATTTTTTCTGAGAAATTCTAATTTTTTTTAAGGTTAATCTTATGAACATTATATTATGGTACATATTGGAACGTTATGGTATATTTATTCATATTAAACTTTTTAAGATTTTTCAGTGTATTAAACATATTTATAATTACTATATACTATATTTTTAAATATAGAAATAAACAATTTTTTCCTTATTAAATTAACAACAGACAATGAAATTTATTGAAAATTCATTTCAATTATGAAACATGATTATGATTATGTTTAAAATATTTCTATGCAGAATAATTTAGTCAATTAGTATATATTCTTAAACTTATTATTAACTCGTTATCACGATTAAAAATTATATTGTATTTTTTATATTTAATGAACAATTAAAAAATGATTTTAAGAATGATATCATATATGATGTACCATACATAAAATACATAAGTTAACCTCAAATAAATGTGTGATTTAAATTGCCACTATGATCAAATTATTACCGAAATTACCGAATATTGAAAAGTAAAAATATAATAATTTATTAATAATCACTTATCATGAATATTTATATTAAGAATATTTTATATATCTAAATAAAAATTATATTAGAAATCTCTTGTATAATTGTATAATTTATCGATTAATTAATGAATTGATAAATGAATTGATTTATTTGATAAATTACAAGTTTTATAATTTTAAATAATTTATTTATAATCGATAAATTTATTAAAATATTTTTTTTGTTTATCAAATTTATAATTATATAACAAAATTTCTTAATATAATAGATAAATGGTTTAATTCGTAAGTTTTCATTAATAATATTAATATATAATTGTATTTTGAATTATATTTAGATTTTTTATGAAAATATATTAATTTTTTAGAAAATAGATTAAATATAATGATAGTTTTTGTTATAATTTGGCACACAAATATTATGTGTGTACTCGGATAATCAGTAGCTGATTTCAATCTCATTGTGGAGGTAGAAAAAAATTGATGCACCACCTACAGCGCGACAATGTGGAATTCTTGCGTAGATAATCTCTTTGGAAAGTTTTAAGGATACCTATAATTTATGACTGTGCAACAGGTTTCGATATTTCTTTTTTACATTTCATTATATTTTTGATTTCATTGTGCTCAAAAAATAAATTGGAAATGAAAGTGTAACAAATATATTCTTACATTATATGTTTTTTACTTTAGTTATTACTTCTTTTGCAGGAACATACTGAACGAAAATTATTTAAAATTTATTATTAAAACTTTCGTGTTTAATCATTTAAGTCAAGACAAATATAATTATAATATGGATAAAAAACTATAACAATCATGATAAATACATAATATTACATAAATTAACAAATGAAATATATTATTAAATCGTTTAATACGTATATATTATATAAAATGGAATGTTTAAAAATATCGTTTCAATTAAATAATGTACGCATAAAACAGAATTATAATGG